GTGTGTGTGTATACAGTATATATATATTTATTTTTATTTTCATCTAATACTGTGTGCAGTCTAAAGTAAATGCCATAGCAATGAATTTTGAGCAAGAAACCATAAACCAGTATTTTTGTTGACAAGTTTACTCTCCCAAAACAATGTTTGAAATGGTGAAAATCGTGCAGACTATGGCTTAAATACAATCTATAGTAAGTGTTAAGCCTTACATGTGAAAGGTAATTCCGTCTTATTTTGTTACATCTGAAGTGTCTGAATATTTCCAAGCCGCACAACTACGAGACATTTTGCTTTCTCCTCTCTGCCAACTCCAATATGGCGGTGACATGGTTATGCCATTTAGCTTCRAATAGGGCGTCTATGGATGTCTATGGTGGCACGCCCCTCATCGCCCCCCAGGATGTAGACACACTCCTGGTAGAGTGGCATACAACCCCAGAGGGGGTAGCAGCCCCCACAGATTTATAAGCCAGCGCAGTGGCCCCAACAACCCAATGCGACAGCCTGTGTTTTGACAGGGCTCGCCCCTTGTTCTTCCCACCATGGCACACGAACAGCTGGTCTGATCGTTGAATAGCCCTCGTAGCCACGATGTAAAGCTGCAATGCCCGAACTGGGCATAGCATGTTTGCCAAACTCTGTTTCTCAGAGTGGAACGGGGGAGGGCAGTATGGCCCCAGATCGATGCCTGTGTTTACATAGCCTGGAAGAAAGGCGATGTTTGCCCATAATGTTACTATCGACCCGTCCACCTTCCAAAGCAGGCAGGTAGGGGTGATGGCAAGTGCATGGAGCTCACTGACTCGTTCAGCTGTTGTCACTGCTAAAAAAAAAAAGGGCAGCTTTCAAAGACACCAGATTCAGTGGGGCAGTACTTTGGCTCAAAAGGTGGTCCACTAAGGGACTTTAACACCAGTGGAAGGTCCCTTGCTGCTGCCAGCCTTTGTAACAAGGGAACGCAGCCTCCTTGCACCATGGAGAAACTGTGTCACCTATGGTTCTCAATGACATCCTCATCTGGGACTTTTTACCCTCTGCACCCCATTCGTGGGCTAGCATTTAGCTTGTAGCGATAAAAACCAGTGTGGGAGAACCACAAAAGCAAGGGAGAAAAAATGCAAAAAGGCGCTGAACAATGCAAACGAGCATGACCAGGATCATAATACTTTGTATTTAAACGTGCCTTTCAGGACACCCAAGGATCTACTGGATAATAAATCTAAATCAAGGTATTTAGCTTTATTGAAAGTAAAGGTACTTACGAGCTGCTGAGGTCTGCAGAGCCGACACAGAGGATATGACTGTGACTTTCTACTATTATTAGTAACTATCTTACATACTCCAAATAGGTACATGCTGCACAATACTGAGCTTTTTGTGATTATAATCTGATGCTGTCAGTGTATCCTACATTGGTGTTTACAGGGTAGATTGCATAATATTCAAAACACTTTTCTGTTCATGGTGCGCAACCTTTTTCTTTTTTAAGTTAATTAACGTACTATGCGGTCAATAACCATGGTGGGAGTGATCTGAACACTCTGGAATCCTGAGGAGGGTGAAATCATCGCCAGCCACAAAATCACATTGCTTTGCCGACAGTTCTACTTCTCCTTGGTGTTTTTAACGCCATCAATGTTTTTTTAAGAGCGTTTCTCTGCCACATAAGCAGCACAGTTTTGTAACTAACTCGAACGCAAATTTGCTCCACGACTGTTAAAACAAATTATAATAGAAACATGCTACATAAACAATCGAGACTGTATACATTTCTGTGCTGTAGACTATCCCCTCTTCCGCATTCACACCCATGAATATGGCGATTTGATCATGTGATCTGCAGGTCGCTACGTCATTTGAGAACCATCTATAGTGTGCCCCTACTCGACTGCCATCAGTATCCCCATAATTAGCTGAAATGGCAGCTAAGTGCACCTTCAGGGTGGATGCAGCCTGTCCAGCATCAAACAGACCCTGTAGGAACCTCAGGATGTCCTGCAGAGAACAAGAAACTGGATCTACCCCCTTGTGCCTGCACCATTCTGAAAAACGCCGCCAACAATGAGTGTAAGTCCTCATCATAGAAGGCGATCTTGCATTCTGAAGTATTTGCTGAATGGAGGGCTCCAGACATGCCAGAGGCTACCAGCCCCCATCAGCGGCCACAGTGAGGAGAAGGTGGCCTGGAGATGGATGCCAAACCTTCCCTTCCATCTGGGATAAGAGGTTCCCACTGACCGGAAGCCGCCATGGCTCCCCATCCAGCAGACTGAGGAGCAGTGGGAACCAGACTCCCATGGGTCACTTGGGAGCCACCAGGAGAACTCTCTGAGTCGACCGTCTCACTCGGTGGAGAGTGGGCAGAAGCAGTGGAAATGGGGGAAAGGCATACAGCAGACCGGCGGGCCACATGTAGGCGAGGGTATCCATCCCCAGAGGGGAGCTGACCTCTGCCAGGGAAAACCACGAGGGGCAGTGTGTAGAGATCCACTTGGGTCCTGCCAAACCGATCCCAGATCCTCTGAACCACCTGAGGATGCAGCCTCCATT